TGGGAAATAACAAGTGAACCCATACTTAAACCAGTCAGGATTAAAAATTACAAAATAACAAATATGGAAAGGGATGCAGTCTTATGCTACTATATACTGACCAACTGTTAACTAAGTAGAGGTCAAGGACAATTTTTTTTCTGGCATTAGTTTATTATTCCATTGAAATCCTCAGTGTGTCTTCACTAAAGCACTTCACTGCTGCAGCATAGCTCTGACCCACTGTAACCTGACTTCAGAAAAATACTCCTTAGCTTATTATTTGTTTATACAAGAACAACATACATTTGAATAAAGAGAAAGACTAGCAGTATTTAAGAAACAGAAATTTTACATGGGCCTATAAAACTGTTTTGCCAGCCAGTGTCAGGATTATATGTTTGTACAGTTGGGTCATGATTTAATAGTTTAATCTTCTACTTAGGATAATTTTTATTCTACATGATAATGGCTTAATGCAGTAGACTCATTTAGCAGTCACTTTTTCACTAGTCATTTTCATTTTCTGTGACACATACATGGTTAAACTTTTATTAGTCTTGGCAGAAGAGATGCTAAATAACAGCTCTTCCAGAATTCTTTTCCTGTGATATCTTGTATTTTGCTGGTAGGGACATTTTTTTCCTGAAGAATTGTAAACTTTGGTAGCAGTCAAAACTGGCCTTATTTTAAACGGTAAACTGTCTCTGGTGTTTTTCATCTCAACAAGAAGAAAAGCCGAATATCAGCACAACTCTTCTCTGTATTTATTACTTATTTGATTTTTCAGAAAGCTTAGTTGGCAGTTTCTCAGCTCCCCCAGCCATTCCAACCTCGATGTGATTAAGAACTTTGTGATACACTAATTTTTCAACTGCATCACGACACTTAATAAAGAGTGGAACTACAGAATATAAACTTCTCAAGAAGCCATGCAATGCAGAATTGTTTGGTTCATGCAGATTCCATATAGCTCTTCCTTATGATGTGCAGTGTCCTAACAGCTATAGTCATATGCAGAGGAACTAACGTTCTGTGTGAATAGTTTGAATTTTCAGAGAATTATGTGCAAATTACCCAGAAAGTTAGCATTTTGGTGTTATTTTTCTAGAGGTAACAGTTGGGATCATAAGGCCATTAAGAGGTGCTACAAAGATACATAAAACAAGTAACTATCTTATTTCTTCTGTCACTACGTACCAAATGAAACAAAAAATCCCCAAACATCTGGAGTATTATCTTTTAGCATTGGAGGGTTGATTAAATATAAGGAAGTAAGATTAAAATCTTATAGTTTAAAGACTAAGTGTATGTGAATTACTCTATACAGAAAACAGAGTTCCTATGTATGGGCTACATGCTATTGAAGGGTAACAGGAACAGCAAAAATATTTTTATCTTAAGGGAAGCATTTTTCTTTTACATATATGCTTTCTTAAATTGTAAAAAACAAAAGTAATGCTGCTTTCATTTGCCATCTGAATCTCAATTAAGCTTCATCCTCCCTTCATAGATGAGAAGGAAAAAGCACCTCCAGAGAGCAATTTGTGTGACACATTTTAGACAATAAAAATCTTAAAATCAGATCAGCTGCTTTGTGTAGATACATTTTTTTCATGTGTGTGTCAGTTGACTGGGGTTGATAAGGGCTGCCTACAAAGATTAACTTGGGCTTAATTAGTAGCTATCTCCGTCTTAAGAGAGGCATCCAACTTGTTGGTATTGTAGGTACACACTTTGTCAGCCATTTAATCTAGTGAATGGTGGTCAGTTTTATTATATTGTATACATCCTCTGTTACAGAAGAGGAATGCAGACTACATCTATGTGATCTCTTGTGTACCTTTGTACTTGTTTTGAGGATGGATTGAACATGTAAGAAATTGTAGCAGAGCAGATGCTAATATTAATAAAGATTAGATTAACTGAGAAATGCAGTGTTTGCTTTAAACAGCAATTACTGATGTGACTTGTGATGGAGCTGCAGTGATGATTTTTTCTGGTACAGCAGAATTTAGACATGGCAGTTGAAATTCAGACCTATTACAAGAGTAAACGGACACAAAGGGAACTTTCCTGTAGGGCTGAATAACTGAGCAGGGGCAGGAAGGGATGCATAGATAACTGCTCCCTCCATTATAGTTACGAGGAACTGATGCACAAAGATACGAATTTTGACACATGGGTGTATATGGCAGTTGGATCCCACTACTGCTCCAGTGTTGGCTCATGTTTTGTAAATGGGAGGGTGACATCTTTGCTATGCATTACAACAGTCAAAGCAAATATGCAAGTCCTACAAAATAACCTTTGACCCTTCGAATCCAACCACTTTCAGACCTGCTAGGGAGTTCCTTTTTCATAAGTGCTTACAAAGGTAATTAAAGAGCAGCTAATGCAGGTCTCTGTTAAATTTGATTATACGGCTAAACCCTCTGTGGTTTCAGACAAACCCAGTGGAGTCATTGTGCAAGGTTGCCTCCTGGTGGTAGTACCAAGAATCTGCAGAAGAACATAATTTGCACCGAGAAAAACGCGTTTTAAAATCATGCTTCCTTTTTTAATCCAGCTCTAACTAGAGGAAATAAATGAACTTTCCTTTCACTAGGACATTAAGATAAACGGAGCTGCGATTTAAATGGTCTGAATTGAGGGCAAACCTTTTGACTGAAACAGTTTTCTAATGGCAGGACAGCAAGCAAAGCCTGAGACTGTTAAGAGGCATTAAAAAACAAAACAAAAAAACAAAAAAACCCCAGTAACATGTACCTGTTTACTGTCCATAGCAGTTAGCCCAGTAAGGTCTAAAACAGTAACTGTGAGATACAAAGCAAATGGCTAAGTGCTTAAAATGGGATACAAAGACACCAGAGGAGCAGACTTAATATTCAGTGAATTCTATGCAACTATAGTTTTCAACATACAAAGATCAACACAAAACAGAGATCCCAAACTAGCTTTCAGATGGATTATTCTTAAGCTTGGAAGTGGGACAAGAATCAAATGGGTGGTTTTCTAATTTCAAATTTTCAAGTGAAGAGAAACAGATTAAGACAGCTTTATGTAGTTTTTCAGTACCTACAAAATCAGGGGGACAGGTTGGATTTACTGTGGGAGTAGGTTTTTAATTAAGTTGTGTTTCAGATGACCCAGGAGAAAGGTTTAGAAAAGAATATAGACTGAGAGTGGCAGTGTAATGCAGGGAAAGGTTTTTAAATACTGATTTTTACGAGCTAATGTAATAACAAAATGGCAGAGGGTACATGCAATGAACATGTGGTTTAGACTCAGTTTCCAGTAATTGGTTGAAGAGGAAGTACTGAAAAGACAGCAGTCCAGCACATCATAGATGTGCATCAAATGCCTGAAAAACATCCAAAAATGTTTGGAAAACACTGAGAAAGCCAGCATTTCTACAGTGATTTTGGATGTTTGATTAATAACAGGGTTTGACAGGCAAGAACAGACAAATAGAATAACAGAAGGTTTCTGTAAAGCAAAATGTCTTAATAGTATTAGGCAGCAATAAGCTAAAGTACTGGGGAGAGGAAGGCCAAAAAATAACTGAAAGTTTAGATTAAACCAAGAATATCTTTTCTTACACAGGAGTAAAGTCAGTGCCAAATAAGCTCTCAGCTTTCCAAAAATAAAGGGGGCTCAATTTTGTTCAGTGGAACATAACAAAACACTACACGAGATGTTAGCTCCTCACTTACAAACCAGCAGCAGTACCAGGCACCATGAATTGACTAAAAGACTACAATTTGTCATACTACAAATTACTAGAAGCTATTTTAAGGTTATATTCTAGGCAGAAAAAAATGCATTTTGTGATTCAGCTTGCAGAGTAAGCAGCAATCCTTCTCATAGACACAACAGACATTCCTTCATGATAACATTTGTTATCATGCAAACAACACATCATACAACTTGAAGCCAAAACCCAGTTGGCTGCTGTAGACTCAAGCATGGACTCAGATATCTGACAAGCATAACAGATGATAAGCAAAACAATTTCATGCTCTGCTGTGATAAACCATTATCAGTTAACTGGCATTTGGATTTAAAAATGCATTCTTAAAATCACACCAAGATAAATACTTAAGACTTTACGTAAAGTTTTACACAAGTATTTAAAGGCAGTCTTTTTGTACACATCCAACATGGCTTTTTTCACAATTGAAGGAAATGCAAGGGAAAAAAAAAATTACTTAGTAGTAACTTTAGAAAAGCAGGTGTTCTTTAACCTAACAATGATTGGGATTAAAAACTGTATATGGTACTCAACTGCTAGCAAAATCCATAGATAACACAGGCTGGCAAAATTACACTAGACTAACAGAAGAAGCAAGAACCTTCCCAGCTTAACCACGTAGCTTTGGAATAGAAATACAAGCAAAATACATACCATATATGGGATAATTACTTTCTGATTATTTATTAGGCTTTGCTAAGATGACTTAAAGAAGTCACTGGGATCTCTGAAGAGGCACAATGTTCCACGCTAGCCCTTTTTATCAGAAGCCTGATGCTTAAAACTGTAGACTGGAGTCACAAATCTCTTTGTGAGGAAAAAAGAAAAATGCTAGATAACATAGAATATTTTTGTAGTAGAAACATTTAAGCACTGCAAAATGCTAAAAATACAAAGCAGAGTCAAGCCACGTTTCTTTAGCTTTAGAGTGTGTTGAGTTCTAGACTTTCCATTTTAACATACTACTTCTCTGCATTCTCTTTGCCTCTAACAGGAGGTGTGTCAGTTTAACAGGATCCCTCCGGCACCTCTTCTAAGACAAGCACACTCACTGCCCATGCACATACAATAGCCTTCACTGGATCCTTGTTCCAGTACTGCAGCTTTATTGTTCTGCTGTCAACTAGCTGAAGCAGAAAGTAAGTAAAATTTAGTTAATCATGTTCTAGTTATAACACTCACATAAAATTGCCAAACATATCTTCTCTACTTTTTATTTCCAATAAAGATTAATAGTACAGTGTTGATGCACAAGAAGGCATTTTAATTATCTGTCTTTAGGAGGATTAGGATTCCTGCGTCTTCTATGATACCTAGAAGAAAGAAAGGCTGCAGTGAATGCAAGCTTTGGACAAGTCTTAGTCTTCTGTTATCTTCCCCCTAGTAAGTGGTCTGGAGGTTACAGAAGTAAGCAAAACACAAGATCTCCAAGTACAACCCAGTTCCACTTGTTAGGTGTCACCTCTGTTGTCTATGGAGTCACATAACTACTCACTTCCACTGCTACATCTGCTTCAAGCATGCAATAATCCCATCAGTTCTACAGCTGAATAGGTACAAAGGCTGTTTATTCTTAATCCTTTGTATGAATTTAATTTTATTACATGGTCAGCTTTTCCTTTGGCTAAAATGATTGCTACAGAACAAACAGACTTGATGTTTAAAGGATTTATGCCTGACTGTATCTTAAATAGCATAATAGTTTGCAGACAAATTAAAAAAAAAAACAAAACCACCTCTTCACAACAAAAATGATCCCTACTTTCCTCTTATTTGCCCTAAACCAATGAAGATTCTGTTTAATGTTCATTACAGTGACAGCTACCCTTCAGCTGTAGGGAGTTATGCCATTTCATTCCTTTACTCCCAAAACACAATAACTAAAAAGATTTCTGTGGACAAAAAAAAAATATTAAAAATCTGCCTTCATTGAGTCTCCAAAAGTTATAAAATTAGCAGCTACAGAAAGGTGTAGTAACACAGATTGGAAAGTAGGAACAGAAACTAGAATGCCATTTGTTTCCAGTGGTATACCTGAAGGTATATAGTTCCTCATTAAGCTCAGTCACATATATTTGCACCTCTCATCCTCCTAGCTTTCTGCATACAAGGGACACCAAGGTGCACTTTTTCACCATTTCAGATGAAAATCCACCAGTATTTTTAAGTCAGAGAATCATCCCATTAAGTTTTTTATTCCTGTAAATTTTTTAAGGAATAGACAATGCATGTTTCCAAGCCATATTTGGTTATTCCCATTGTGAGTACTTCACATACTAGATTCTCTTGTGCTGACTGCACTTATGCAATGTTAATAAATCACCTAAACGAGTAGCCAGCAAGATAGTATGAGAAATTCCTACTCCGTAACAATGTTTGCAAAAAAATCAAAGTTGCAAAGGCTACCAAAGAGGCAGTGTTTAAAAAACCTTACAAAATAGTCTTCCATTTACACAACACTGCATTTAAGGTTTTATGTAGGAGCTCAAGTGCTAACAGTATCTTGTCTCACATGAGTTATCCAGGGGTGAATCTAGTGATTTAATTATTCCTGTACTATGTCCTACATCCCAAAGGAATAAACATTGAAAAGAAAATACTTACTGTCCCACAGGATACCAGCGATGTTTTGTTGTGTAAAACATTTTGCTGAGCTCTTCAGTCGTAGGACCGCTGCTCTTCAGCTCTTTTTCATTCAGTCTGGATTTCAAAACTTGATCTAGGGTTTCTTCTTTATTATTCACTGGATCTGGCCGTGGTATGGGCTATAAAAACAGAAGCATATATGTTTCCTTTCTCCTTTTTTTTTTTGAGAAAAACAAAGCCAGGCTACATAGAGAGCATTACAATTTACTTGCAACAGCTGAAACCAAAGCAATACAGAAGAATACTTACAAAGGCTGTTTACTGCCCCCACCCACCCAAACAAAACCAGACCACTGTGGAGCAGATGTCCAGAAACATCTAATTTACCCCAGGTGCTACAGCTGATTACTCTAGCCCTAAAAATCAGCACTGCTGTCATCATTATTGCTGATCTCATCCTTACAATTTACCAACTGAATCATAAACTTCAGTTCTACTAATACAAAAGTACTCATATAATTCCTATTTAGAAATTTATTCATAGTGATGATGATCATCAGTAAAAAAGCTTTAAGATTATTTTTACCTCAGAGAAGAACGTCACTTCCTAATTGTCAGTGCATCTGCTAAGACCAAGACATCTGTTTCTCAACCTGAAACCTAACTATAGCAGCATTACAAATCTTCCTCAGTTTGGTCTTTTAAACCTGTTTTTCCTCAGATATATGCAACTGATAAATGTAAAGATACCGATATGTAACTTGGAGGCAAAGAATGATAAAATGTTTTAAGTTTTCAATGGAGGATTTTCATATTGGGCCCTTTAGCAACGTAGCTACCATTTGCAGTATTTTACTAGCACATGAGAACTGGAAATTGAAAAAAAAAGTGTACACTAGAAAAGTTTATCTAAGGTTACTTTTGTCAGTATAAAGAGCACATTGAAAGTACTACTGCTAGATAAAAACTCAATCTTTAAAGTTGTTTTGTGAAACTTAGGAACCCAGAGTGCTGAATAGAATTTGGAGTGTGAGATGAAGCAAGCATCAGCAACAGCACTTCTTTATATCCTCTTGCCCGGACTGGCACACCTGTACATTAGGTGTGAACTATAACCTGGACTCCAAACATCTTCTTTGAGGAGTACACTCACAGACAGACACTAGTTTCCTCTGTAGCGCACAAGTATTTGAGTGTCTCATTTAATTCTATTTGAGTTACTACACACTGTGGTATCTGAACACTTCTTGCTCTGCAACTTTGCCTCAATTCAACTACAAATAAGTTCAACTACAAACAACTGCTGTCTTGTGGCAGCAGCTCTCTTCCTCATTCACTTACTACACAGACGTGCTGATCACATAATAAAAAGTGTTTTAAATTTTTTTAAATGCCCTAACGGCTCAAAATTATGAACTATTTGTACCTTTACAGGGGAAAGAAATAAATATGTACATTTGGACATACTTTTGTATGCTCATATGGAATCTCAAGCGAAGGGTGGTAGCAGACAATTGTCTTCAGATCTGATGTCAATGCAAGTTCCACTTTGCTATAGAAATAAAACATTACACACTTAAATATATCCTTGTATGACACAGATGCTGCATTTCTCACTGTATTTGTCCCATCCTCTCTGGTTTCTAGTTAGGCTTCCCACGCAGCAGCACAAAAATACTCAGACTTTGTCTTGGCAACAAACATGAATGAAAATGACTGCTCTTAGCTACTCTTGCTTTTTCACAAACAAAACTGCAAGGGTAGAGGGGCCATCACTACATTTAGAGTAAGTCCTGCATGATTTTTCACAAAGCTGATTTTTTTCAAATACTAACTTCACAATCATTATAAGTTGAAACAGTACTTCAGTTAAAATCATTACATGTATCCAAAACTAGCATATGTATTTGGTACTGGTATATGACAACTTCATGACAGAGAATGCAGGCCTGGAGTAAAAATTACATGAAAAGGACACAGATCAAAGCACATTTAAGTACCAGTTGTAGTCTTCAGGGAGAACAGAGTATGTAGATTTATGGCAAGCATGATACACAGCTCCATCTGCAAAAAGAAAAAAACCAACATGTAAAGAACACTAATGTAAAAAAAAAAACAAACCCAGAGCTGTGCCAAATGTAAGTATGTTTATATTTTCATTCCATTCTAAGACTTAATTAGGGATTATAATCATGTTCAGTTTTAGATTAACAAAACTCAAAAACTGTCTAAATCGAAGTTCACTTTACTACACAGACTTCTAGTACAAAAAATACAGTAGCCCATAGCTACCTAGATACATTTACCTGCCCAATTGTACTATTTCCCTAAGAAAAATCACAGTATGAACAAAATACCTACAGATTTCACCATCAGAACATATTCTTTAGATATGCAAATAACATTGCCTTAGGACTTACAGGGATGATAATAATTTCATTCACAGTACAAATCTGGCTTTTATATTTAATATTACTTTGTCTATAGCTGTAGACAGTGATAAGAGGGGTGGTATTTATAAACTAATTAATAAATTAGAGGAGCGTCATATGTGGACCATGGAAGCTTTAAAAGAAAACAACCAAAATCAAGATATCCTTTAATTATTAGAACACAGAATATCAAACATGATCCTGTCCAAATAAAAATTCACTTCTATGCTTCCACTACTTAGACAGTATAGGAGAGAGGCTCTTCCTGAACAAATACAGGACCTCTACAATTTTGTCACTACTTACTCTGCAGCAGGGCCTGCTTACACCTGGGCCATGCAGTTCTAAGTGATGCAGCCATGGTGAGAGCAGAGAGGAAACCAGTCCTGGGCAAGATGGAACTCAGACAGACACTGTATCACTTTTTTGTGCAGAACACCCTCTGAAAGAAACAAAACAAAAAAACAAAAGAGTTAAATAAATGTTCAGGGTACAAAAGACCAATATCTCAATGATAAATAAAATGTGTAGTATATTCCTCATTATTTGCCAATTGTTTAGGAGCCCTTACTATTTACAATACTTGTACCTGCCTCCTTAATAGTCAAAAGTGGTATAAGACTTTATTTACTGAGAGGTACTCTTTGAAGATACCTCATTAAGGAAAGTTTCCAAGCTTGGGTCTTCTCAGTCTTTCTACATCTAAGTTTTGCATCCTTCCTTCTGCGCACTCCATGTGCTTTTCTTGTCCATGATGTAAATATCAACATCCAGTATAAAAACAGAAGTACTGATAAATAACACTTGCTGTAATTAACAAACTGCCTAGATCTAGTTGATTTCATCCACTTCAAAAGCAATATACCTAAACTCTATGAAACACCATTCAGAACATTAAATATTACCCTGAAAATTTCACAGAAGCAGAAAGACACACGTAAGTATCCTAAAGTTTCCATTGCCTGCAGAAAAAAAAATGCTTCAAAGATAAACTTACAATGATGCTTTAAAAGTAAACAACAAACATAACTGGGGATAGTTTATAGACATAGTTCAAAGCTACTTTGGATTTAGTGCTTAAGAACACCACAACAAGTTTCTACTTCACAACTACAAATAATTACTATTTTTTGCCTATGCAAACACTGCTGAAGTTAGAGAACACTAACACAGCATTAACAAAGCTCATAACTTCCCTTTGAAAGCTCATTAACAAGAGGTGAGAAGAACACAATGGATCTGGGCCACCTTGTCAAAGGACAGGGTTCAGGCACCAGCCTGTTCTAGGCCTCATCTTACGGATCACTGCAGTTTAAATCTAGACATCCCTATCCCTGAGACAGCACACAAGAAACCCTAAAAGGTCTGTCTGCAACAAGCAGGAACATAAAGCCTGACACTTCTATTATTAATATCTATATTTAGCTTAAAAATATATATAATTGATGAATTCACCAAAACAAGAAAAAGTGCCTGTTATAAAACTGGATATGCAGGCTATATAAAAAAAAAATAAAAATCACAGAATGTCTTGGGTTGGAAGTGACTTATAAAGGTCTTCTAGTCCAACCCCCCTACAATAAGCAGGGAAATCCCCAACTAGAACAGATGCTCAGAGCCCCATCAAGCCTCACCTTGAATGTCTCCAGGGATGGGGCCTCCACCTCTCTAGGCAACCTGTTCCAGTTGACCCACCACCCCAATATTACAGAACTTTTTCCTAATGTCCAACCTGAATCTACCCTTCTCTAGTTTAAAACTGCATGAAGCCTTCTCCTACCGTTACATGCCCTTGAGAACAGCTCTTCCCCAGCCCTCCTACGAGTCCCTTCCAGCTACTGGGAAGTCGCTAAAAGGTCTCCCCGGAGCCTTCTCTTCTCCAGGCTGAACCAGCCCAACTCCCCCAGCCTGTCTTCGTGAGAGGTGCTCCAGCCCTCTGCTCCAACAGCTGCACGCAGCGAGTTAACCCCTCGGGGAGTACATAAACTCCCTTTTTCTGGCCCAGACAGCGAGCTGGCAGCTCCCCACGCGAGCCGGGCACGTCCTGACATCACTACAGGAGCACGGCGGGGGAAGGGCGGGGGGA